TCGCGAACAGAAAAGGACATTCAAAAAAAAAAAAAGAAAAAAAAATTAGGACGATTAATTTTCTCTTTGTTTTGGTTCTAAAGTAAATAGCTATTTTACAGAAGCAGATGTTTCCWTTGAAGCAAAAAAACATAATTCGGCTTTATTTACGACAATTTATTTATAATATTTTTTGTTTTAAGCCTTCTTAAACCTTATTAGCAGCGCTAGAATGGTGCAAGTAACTGGTAGCTAAGAGTTTCCTTTTTGAACCAAAAGAATTTTGTACAATATTATGAGTAATTGTGGCTTTTTAGAATTCAAATTAGATCGGAGGAACTTACGAATTCCTTGAAAATTAAATTGTTAAACTTGGGATCTTTGTAAGACTATAAACATTCTCTGGACTTTGGAAGTTAGAAAAAATAGTGCATGATTTTCACACTTGATTCTCGTGGATCAATCAGCTGACTTTCTAAGCTGTTTGATATTCAAATTCCGCCTGTATTGTCATATAATTGGACGAAAAATTCAAAGCGCAAGTTCAGTCATCTTTTGACGCGCGCCAGCTGGAAGCAATATCCTGCTTATCCGCTTCGTGTTCAAAGAACATTGAAGTAAGGAGGATAAACGAGCTTTCAACATGGAAGCATCGTTCTCGTTGTCTCTTTTGGCGTTTTTTCTAGCCACAACTGTTACAGCGAATACGAATTCTTCTTGTAGAGAGAGCAAAAGCTCGCTCTACGATATACAACTGAAAGATTTGTACGGAAAACCCGTGCAATGGAGCGAGTACAAACACAAAGTTATACTCGTAGTTAATGTCGCGACMTACTGAGGCTACACCAAGTTAAATTATCCACAAATGAATGCATTGATGAAAAAATATGGAGCAGAGAGAGAAGATGGATGTGGTTTTGCAGTTCTGGGATTCCCGTGTAACCAGTTTGGCAAACAAGAACCAGGAGAAAGCCCGGAAGAAATTCTCAACGGTGTGAAGTATGTACGACCAGGGAATGGTTTCAAACCAGCTTTCCCATTGCTGGAGAAAGGAGACGTGAATGGCGCGAAACAACACCAAATGTACACCTATTTCAAGGTAGAAAACTACAGCTCTTATATCTAAGATGTTTTACCTTGTTTCGTTTATTTTAAAAACCAAGTTCTGAACTAACCCTGGGACTTTGAATAGCCTTACATTCGAATCAGTACAGATAGTCAAGTCAGCCCATACGTACAATACTTTACAATTATTTTGTTCCTCGCTTTCGGCGTTCACCGTCATCATCCATGGAATGACGAATCATCCGACATCGGGCGGCTGTGAAAACCAGCAATAGCAATTCTTTATCGATAGCACTTCTTAGGTGAAAACGTAAAGATTTAAATCTTAATTGTAGAAATTATCTGAAGATACAAGCCATGGGATAAGATCATCGTCATTTTCAGGGAAAAAAATCAATAAGTCAGTGATAAATTTTCTAACACTTTACTGTTTTTTTYCCTCTTTTTTCATTATGAATATAATATTTCCATTTCTCGCTTATCAATAATTGTCTGGGCTTTGGTAGTTTAATTATTTTCCCTCTAAATTTTTTTTACGGCATCTCTTCTGAGCAACGCCGTGTTCTCGGGCAACGACAGCGTATTCATGGATTTAAAGAAAATGTTTATTCCTTTTATTATARAAACACTTTGTTTCAGTATGATGTTCGGTCGTTTCAAACAGCTGTAAAGTCTACAAGATCAGATCTGATAATGGCCCTTCTATAAGYGTTGTTCTATACCTCCGATCCTGTATGACACTATTTTTTTAAATGATCGAAATGTCAGTTAACTGTAAGGATTTAAAAGCGCTAGCTGGCCATAATATTTATAACTGTTATAACTACTAATTTTAGGTTATTTGTCAGTTAAATAAAAWTTTTTTGATCATTGGCACCCTCATCTATCTCCATTCTTCCCTTCTTAGTCTTCCCCTTCATCTACTAAACAAACAACCAACCTCATGTTCCAGGAACACTGTCCCCTCCCCGGTGGAGTCATAATGAAAAGCGCCAAAGACATCATCTGGGAACCAATCAGAAGCGACGACCTTTCCTGGAATTTCAGCAAGTTCTTGATCGACCATAATGGCAAGGTAGTGAGGAGGTTCCTTCCCTCTGTCTCTCCTCTGGAGCTGAGCGCTGGCATTGAAAGCCTGATATCAAAATGTGTGGTGAAAAGAAGGCTGGAATGGATACAAAATAAGAAAGACAACGACGTCTTCTATGAAGAATACTAATGATGATATAATGCTAATAGCAGTAGTATTAAAATAATAGCAGAGTGTTAGCCTCATGTCAAACGTCGAACTTCAAATGAGCCGAACCTAATAAGGAATGGCTACCTTTCAAGATGACGCAGGGAACTGTGAAGGTGACTATTGAAACAATGGCTTATAAGTCGATCGTCTTTGATGTCATTCGGTTCGGCTCATGTGGAGTTCGACGTTTGACATGAGGCTAATACACTCTATTGCCTTCAAACAATTGTTACATTTGGGTCAGTTTTTATACATTTATTGTTACTGACCCAAATGCTTCAACTTGAAACAATTGTTTGAAGGCAATAGAGTGAATCTCTAATATCTGCCATTATTGGGTAAACTCCGTGCTTTATTAAAAGGGTTGGGTTAATTTTTATGCTAGGATAAAATCTATTTAGCTTATAAAAAATTATATGTTTTCAACGGTCCCAAGGCCGAACTCTGGGGAACACCAATAATTCCTTTCGCTCTGACGAGCTGAGCTTTTGATTCTAACAGCCCGAAGACATGGATGCGATGATGATGCATGTGTTGCTGTAACATTCACGTGTGACGTCGTCGACGTCACACGCTGCAGGACTGAAGTAGGAAGCAGCCGCGTTTCTGCCTTCTTTGAAGTCTCATGCTACGTCGCGCGGGAAAGAGAGAGGAGAGACGGGACGAGGTGCGAGGTCGAGTCGTTAATATTAGACTATGTGTCAAAGATGATAATGTTGTCGGTTATGAACCAGTTGATGACGTGCTTATTTTAAACTGTCGCTATTGCAGTCGATAAGCTCTGATGTTAGTTTATAGTCTTGTGCCGCCTTTAATGCATTCAGCTGTACAAGAGAGGCTAGGCTGGTGATCAGATAACGACTGATGTCTGAAATACTTATGACTGATAATAACATGCGGCATTGATGTGAGTATTGGGCTGAAATAAACGATCAATTCAAATTTGATTATCTGCAAGTCTTTTTCAGTAATGGATCCGCGATTCCCATTCCATGTCCTTGCTTCCTTGCTTCCTTGCTTCCTTCCTTGCTTCCTTGCTTCCATCCCTCCATCCCTCCATTTCGTTATTAATGGTACTCGCCTTCATCAGTGGTCGTGTAATTATACATACACTTTAAACAATCCCTCATACCTATTGATAATAAATAGTACTCGAGGTCGTGCTATTTCTTATACAAGTACGCATATACGATTAGGAAAAAAAACACAATCAAAATGTGAGTAAATACCGAGAATCAACGCCCCCTCAAAACTAAAATAAGCTCCTGTCAGTAAACCGTTCCGATTTTAAATCATTAAAGAGAGGGGGGGAAAAAAAGGAAAAAATAAAAATTAATAAAAAGAATAAAAAAAATAATAATAATAAAAAAAAAAAAAGGAGGAAGAAAGAAAAAGAAAAATAATCGATTCAACTTTGCCATACCCCCGAGACATCCGCAGAGCTGAGGCGGCGTATGGACTTCGGACCTGACGGCGATTAAATCCTTCTGCCCTTGGGTGTACGAATTACGCAAGAAAATGTTCTAGCCGAAGCATCAGGGGAGAGACCAGCCRGCCCCCAGACCATATCGGCTAATCCCTTGCATCTCTGCCACGCACGGAATCGGTTGAAAGTATAATATCAAAAAGTCTAGTCTATTCGGTGCATTGTTTTCATGGCTATTGTTATGCTGATTAACCTGGAACCGTGGTCCAGTGGATAAAAGTTGGGCTTCAAAGACACTGGGTCAAGTCCGGTCGAGGGAAGTTAGTACCTGGATGGGTGAGCTATAAAAGTTATGCCTACAAAAAAATTTTTTTCTTAATTAGTTTAACCCAATAAACTGAATCCGTCTTAGTTTACGTAGAGAAGTTGTCGAAAATTAAAAACCCGCAGACATGTTTAATCCGCAATTTTTCAAGGTATCCTTGCTTGAAATCGACGAATTTCTAGCTTAACTAGGGGTATCCTTTATGCCTGATCTACCTGATTTGAGTAGTTTCCCCTTTACCTAATTTAGAATCCCCTTACCTGATTTAGGAGTACCCGTTTAACCTGATTTAGGAGTATCCCTTCACCTGATTTAGGGTTATCTCGTGATCGAATTGGGTGTTTTGAGAAAAAGACTACATCCCGGGCGTAGATTGCATATCAGAGCCTCCTCACGGACCAAATTACATACATTAATAGTATTTTATGGGGCCCTTCTCCGCCCGGGATGTAGTCTTCCCACGTATGTATTTTGGCTTCAAATTTAAACCATTTGCAAGCCATTTTATCGATTCCTACCACTTCTAGTAGGAAAAAAGAAAAAAAAGTAGATTCTGTATGACTGTAAAAAGCTCAACATACAGACTAATCCAGTCCTGGACAAAGCTGAAAAATTCTTATCACAATTATCCATACACTATAGACTTGACACCATTTTCGGATAGGCCTTAGAATTTTATCGATGCACTGCGTATCAAAGTCACAGCAAGCCAAAACAGAGATCGCCTTCCCTCGTTTCCCGAACTCTCTCTCTAGTAGCTCTGAGTAGCTCTCTCTCTCTCTCTCTGCCTTTTCTCTCTCTTTCTCTCTATTCCCAACCCCTTTATATCTGTTCAGACACCTAGCAGCCGTTTCAGCGATGTAAGTTGGGATAGCTGGGTAAAAATCAAACCGAGTTTACCTAAGTACTAAAGCGAGCCGCCGATGCTGGTTTATAGTTGGTCAGCGTCATACAGCACGTGTATCAAGAAATCAACATGGTGTTAAAGAAAGTAGATAACCGAATCAGGGTTCTCATCGAGAATGGCGTCCAAACAAGGCACAGATCCTTGTTCGTGGTCGTTGGAGATAAAGGAAAAGACCAGGTAAGCTTTAGATGAAATTTCCTTAGAAAAAAATAAAAAAGTTGGACAGTTTTACGTTCGCAAAGTTGAACTTTACACTACATTTCTATAAGTTTTTGTATTCTATTTTCTTCTATGTTCCTATTTGTTTCGTATTCCAAATATTATAAAATGTTTTCTTAGCATTATATTCGCTTTATAATGTACGCTTTCATGAAAATAGTTTTGAATCTTGAACGAAGGTCTCTAAGACAGGGATCCCGCGTTCAAAAGTTGTCAAGTTGTATAAATGAGTCACTGATTGATAGATGTCAATCATGGATCCAAAATATTGATCCCTTGCAGCAAGTCAGAATGCAGCTCAATTTGAAGAACATAACAATAGTTTTCAATATTCTCAGGAGATTGAAATTCTTTTGTTTTGTCCTCCAAATTGAGCTGCTTTGATGTCACATGCAAGGGGTTTATTAGACACACTGTTTTTGTGTGGAGCTAATATTATATTCTCACTGCTGTGGTCAAGGGTGGTTTGATCCTTGGACATGGCTATCCCATCTGCTTGTTGGTTCTCTCCTGTGCTTCAAGAGTTTGCAGATAACCTATTCAATGAATAAATTCGTATCCAGTGGATAAGTCAATGCTAATATAAATATCCAATAGATTTAGCCACTGGATAAGATTTATCCATCGGAAAGCACTGTCCATCCTTCATACAACTGGGCCCTGATTTTAAGAGATGGTATGCAAATTGGCTTAGGCTTTGATTGGCTGCAATGTCAATCCATTCTTAGACACATTCTGATTGGTCTGTGAGATCACACCTGACGTGTTTGTTGTAAAACAAATGGCATCATCAAAATGGGATAAGCCTCTCCCGATATCATATCAAAAGCAAAAAATCTATTCATGAATTGTTTTTATTATTTAGCAAAATTCAAGCAGAAGGCCAAACAAAAAAAAAAGTGTGTTTCCTGTTGCGCGACCGACCCTAATTTCCTTGCAGATTTTTGCCGACCCTAATAATTTTTTTCATTCCCAAATGCACCACAGGGTTCCCAGTAAGCTAATTTCTACTGTTGTTCAGTAAAAAAAAAATCTGACCTACCGACCCTAATCATTTTTCTCATGCAACAGGAAACACATGTACACTTATTTTTATTGTTTGGCCTAATTCTTCATAATACCGCTACAGGTTGTGATCTTGCACCACATGCTTTCCAAAGCTGCTGTCAGAGCCAGACCATCAGTGCTTTGGTGCTATAAGAAAGAACTAGGATTCAGTAGGTAAGTGAAGACTACTTATTTAAGAGAGAATAAGAGAAAAATATCAAATGCCCTTGGCAGGAATCAAACCCACGTCTTCAGTATTCCAGTCCGATGTGTTAACCACTACACCACAAGGACTGACAACGCTGGTAACACAGCCGGAATATGAAATGTAGGATACTTGTGAGGATCCCAGATTGATATTTTTTCTCTATGGGTAAATTGAACACCGTAAATATGTACGCAAGGAAAAGACATAGTATAGTAGTAATAAATTATGCGTTGGGTGTGTGTAGTGAAATAGAGAGAATAAGAGAAAAATATTGAAGATGAGAAGAAAAAAGAAAAATGTCCTTCTACAGATGATCTCCAATCGTGAGACAAATGAATAAGTATCATTTATTACGATTCCCATGATGAATGATCTTTTTCATTCTATTGGTTTGCCTGTGTTGATAATAAACACAGGGATCGCATGATACTAGATGCTATAAAGCTTTTTGATATAATTTAACTCAGAATATGTTTACGAATACATTTTATTCCCAAGCCATCGTAAGAAAAGGATGAAACAGTTGCAGAAAAAAATCAAAAGTGGTACACTTAATGTGAAAGAGGATGACCCTTTTGAACTGTTCATCTCGGCAACCAATATTCGTTACTGCTACTACAATGAAACACACAAGATCCTCGGCAACACTTACGGGATGTGTGTGCTACAAGTAAGTAGGGTTCTTTTTGCAAAATTTGTGTCAAGGTAAAAAATTACAGTTGATTTTGTTCTTGCAACATTTTGTTGTAAACCTCTTTACCTTGGGCGTAATGTTTTCCTATTTCAAACCATGTGTCATACTCTTGAAAATAAGATTCTTTCTTTGAGTTGTATCTATATTCATGTGTCTTCTCATGAAGGCAGAATTTAATGTGGAGTAAAGACCATCCAAAGACATGTTGTTGGACACAGCCCTACCCCTAGGGGGGTGTGAAAAATACTAGATAGCTGTATTTTAGCTGGAAATTTCTTGTTGAACATTATTCCCCCATCGAATACGGTCAAGAAAATTTGGTTTTCCAGAGGAAATCAAGTTGTACAACTGTTAAACAAAGAAATGCTACTTTAGGGAATGACATGTGATCTGAAATGGGAAATACATTACTGCATTTACTCGAATAAGTGCCTCCCCTGAATAAGTGCCATGCACCTTAAGGGGGCACTTCTTCTCATTACAGTATACTAATACCAGTACTGTTGTAGTAGTATAAAATTGATATTAAAAGAAAAGCATACTTTGACAATAGTGTACGCATTTCCTCCCGTTGAATAAGCGCCTCCCTCAAATAAGCGCCTCCCTCAAATAAGCGCCTCCCCCCGAATAAGCGCCCTGTTTTAGATGTGAAAAATTTAATAAGCGCCAGGGCACTTATTCGAGTAAATATGGTAGACCTAATAATAGTCAAACACAGTGCTAATCATAAATTAAGTGGTAGTGCATGTGGAATGAACCAGATGGAAGAGCCCCTTAATATTATATCTAAATATTATTTTTTCAAATTCACAAGGATTTTGAGGCACTCACACCCAACCTTCTGGCTCGTACCATTGAAACAGTAGAAGGAGGAGGAATCGTGGTGATTTTGCTAAGAACTGTGTCATCTTTAAGGCAATTGTACACCATGTCCATGGTAAGTACATAGCTGGATGCTAAGCTAAACTACCAGATATGATGTGACAAGAAATGATGATAAACTGTTGTTATTGTAGGATGTTCACAGTCGATACAGAACTGAAGCTCATCAAGATATAGTAGGCAGATTCAATGAAAGGTTTGTGAAATTCATTTTCATTGTGTTTTAATATTATGTATGTATACTACTTATAGACATACATTATCCATCTTGGTTTTCGTATTTAAGACCATACAACATTAGTTATTCTCTAGGGAATAAGATTCTTTGTTTTAAGTTGCTTCCATATTCATGGTCTTCTTAGGCACAACCGTTAAAGAAATAATTCTCTTGAAATAATACTAAGAATGATACAGGGTTTGAAATGGGGAAACATTGCAATAAAATGAATAAGGTCCAGCATCTTGCAATGCTTTCATCTCTGGTTTTCATACCTCCATCTACAATTAACTTCATTCAAATTCAGTGGAGAGCTTCTCACAGACACTCTGTGAAAGTGCTTCTGCTAAACCCCATTCAATGTTTTATTTTAGAACCAAAACAATCTTCATTAAATTGCAAGCTTACAGTAGATGACTAAACTTGCTGTTCTCTATTGTGTTACAGATTTATACTTTCACTGACCTCCTGTAAAGAGTGTCTTGTGATTGACGATCAGTTGAATATCCTGCCTTTATCATCACATATGCTCAGTATTACTGCAATACCACCAAAAACAAAGGTAACAATGAATGGACACAGTATAATGCACACATTTCCATAATTATGTGACCCACACAACTCGAGTCCTCTGTTTTTTGCTCCCATCAATCATATTTCTAAAAGTCTGAGTTAGTACATGGTAATTTTTTTGTTGATGGAAGCCAAGAACTCAGAGGCCTTGGGCAGCCTGAGTTGATCGCGTAATTATGACAATAGGCAATGTTTTTTTATTTTTATCTGAGTTAATTATGAGTTACAATTTTTTATAACTCATAATTATTTTATGATTCCACGGAGGGAATTTGTAAAAGGAGCCTCTTATCCCAAGTAAATTCCAATTTTCTTCCATACAAACTCTGTAATTTTGTTGTTTTTCTGACCACCCTCAMCCCCCCAGAATTTCCAATCCCCTCCAAAGGTGGGGTACACATTTAACATTTGTATCTTAGTCTTAATTTGCCTTACATATGAACTCTGTAATTTTGTGACTCTTTTTCTGACCCCCCCCCCCCCCCCATCCCCCCAGAATTTCCAATTCCCTCCAAAGGGTGGTGTACACATTCAACATTCAACATTTGTATCTTAGTCTTAATTTGCCTTTTTTCCAGGAAGAATCCATGTCCCCAAACGATATTGAACTGAAACACTTGAAGGAGTCTCTTCAGGACACACAGCCTGTTGGGGCACTTGTCAACTGCTGCAAGACTCTTGACCAAGTAAGCTTGTAATAGGCAAGTAAGCTTGTAATAGGCAAGCAAGGGGGGGTATAGTGCAGTATAGTAGACTTGCCTCTCACATTTAGGATCTCAGGAACTGGAAGAGAATCATTATATTTTATGTCCACTCAAAGGGAGAGTCGAAAAAATCTGTGCAATTTATATAAAATTATAATTGTAAAATATACTTGTCTGCAGCAGAAAAAGGGAAAACCTTCTTAAAAATATGCACATCAAAAGATTGAATCAGTTAGTAAGAGCATCAGTCTGTTGTGCGGGAGGTTATGGTTCAAGGCTCAGCCACACCAACACTCAGGGTCTCAAAATAACTGAGGAGAAGGTGCTGCCTTTGTTATTACATCAGGGAATGGTTAGACCTGTCATGTGGCATGGATGACCACGTTAATGGTGGTCCTGTCCCTAATCAAAAATTGTTATGTCTTTACAGGCAAAAGCTTTATTAAAATTTATTGAAGCCATCTCTGAGAAAACACTGAGAACAACCGTCTCTCTTACTGCTGCTCGTGGCAGAGGAAAATCAGCTGCTCTGGGACTAGCATTAGCTTCTGCCATTGCATTTGGGTGAGAAATACTTGATAATTCACTCGTTCCGACCCAAAATATGGGCTAATACATCATAGATGAACAAAAATAGTGTCCTTTAGGACTATATGCATATATTTTATGAGTCGACATACATCATTTATACTTTGGTCCAGGATTTACTACCTAGGAATTCACCTACATTTGATATATTTCCCTGTCTTAGACATACTTTACTACCAACTAGTAATCCACTGGATATGACTTAATTTTCTCTTTTTTGTTGATTTTGAACTAATTTTACTATATTTTGTTGTCAGGTATTCTAACTTATTCGTAACCTCACCAAGCCCTGAGAACTTGCACACGTTATTTGAGTTTGTGTTTAAAGGATTTGATGCCTTGGATTACCAGGTAAATGATCTTTGTCTACAGAAATAATTCCTTATTAAAGGATATTCACTTATTAGTTTCATATATATTTTTTGTAGGAACACATAGATTACGAGCTTGTACAGTCCACCAACCCTGAATTCAATAAAGCCGTTGTTCGTGTGAATATCTTCAGAGAACACCGACAGACAATACAGGTATGTTGTGAATTCTTAAAAAATCTTGTAATCAATGGCGCTTTCTTCAAGCTTTTCTCCTGATGCATTTCCAAATTCCCGTTCAGTTAAGTGGATGAATAACAAGATGATTTGCAGCTGAAAGTTCTCATTCTACAAATATAATTAATCATGTACTATATGTTATCTTTACAGTATATCCATCCCTCAGATGCACAGAAGCTTGGCCAAGCTGAGCTTGTTTGTATTGATGAAGCAGCAGCTATACCTTTACCTCTAGTAAAGAGCCTCCTTGGCCCATATCTGGTGTTCATGTCATCTACAATTAATGGGTAAGGAATTCATACTTCAATACAGCTTTATCATGCTCTGACTTTGATTAACCCTGAGGTTGTTTCAGGGTTCGATCTGTGAGTTAGCCATGCCCTGACTTAGATCAGCCCAGAGATTGTTTCAGGGTTCGATCTGTGAGTTAGCCATGCCCTGACTCAGATCAGCTCAGAGGTTGTTTCAGGGTTCAATCTGTGACCCAGGCAACTACTTACTTTATTTCCTTTCATATTTTGTTTTCTTCATACAGATACGAAGGAACAGGTAGATCATTGTCCCTTAAACTGATAAACCAACTTCGTCAACAAAGTGTCCAGCAAGGAATAACAGCAACCAAATCAGACTCCACCACCACCCCCATGGGAAGGGTTTTGCATGAAGTGGCCTTGAATGAATCTATTCGATATGCTGCTGGCGATGAAGTAGAAAAGTGGTTGAATAGCCTGTTGTGTTTGGACGCTACTCTTGCACCATGTATTAGTGCCGGGTGCCCTGTGCCTGATAGCTGTGAGCTGTATCCTTTGTTTGAAAAAAGGAGTCTCGTTCAAGTCCATTTCCATCCATCCATCCATCCATCCATCCATCCATCCATCCATCCATCCATCCATCCATCCATCCATCCATCCCATTCATGCTTCCATCCATCCTATTCATGCTTCCATCCATCCATCCCATTCATCCCACTTCTCCTTTCTGCCATCCATCTATTCACTTTATACCCACCCACCCTTAGTCCAACCATTCTCATAGATCCTCATGAATCCACTTGAACAAAGGCCGCTACAGCAACTTGTTACCTCAACTACCAAAAAAATAGCCACTGCATATTTCTTTTTCACTGAAATGTTATTTTAGTCTCTGAATTGTCCTTGACAAGATTCAGATACTATGTCAATAGAGACACACTCTTCTCGTACCATAGAGCATCTGAGGTGTTCCTACAGCGACTGATGGCTTTGTATGTTGCATCACACTACAAGGTTCGTCATTCTTTGATAGACTAATTGAAGGAAGAACCACAAAACCATGCAAAGTACTGAGCAGATCGAGAAAAGACATGGCTCCATTAATTTTAATGCAAGCTTGCACATTTTCCCCCACATGTCTCTTGTCTCCAAGACTGGTGCCTCAGAATGTCATTTTTAAAGGACTTAAGACAATTCAAGATAACTGCACGTTCTTCCCTCTTTGCTAAATCTGTTTATATTGCTTGACATATTGTTCTCGTTACTTGGCTGTTGTATTCTGATTAGATGATGAGGTCAATTTTGTCATTAAAATTTTTTTTTTGCTTTTGCATTGTTTACATTGATTTAGTGTTAATTCTCATTTTGTAGAATACACCAAATGATCTTCAGCTGTTGTCCGATGCACCTGCTCATCACATCTTCTGTCTTCTTGGTCCTGTTGATCCTTCAACTAAAACACTGCCTGAAGTTTACTGTGTACTACAGGTGTGTATGACTTTGATCATCATTATGTATCATCATCATCATGTATCATCATCATCATCATGCCATTGCCAGTCATCATCATCATCATCATCATCATGTATCACTACCATTGCATTAACTTAATGTCTCATTATCATTGGAATCATCAACACTATCATCATTATCACTAATACCATCATTGTCATCATTGTTATCACTATCAACATGTATCGTCATAATTGTAATCATCATCATTACCACCATCACCAGCATCAGTATCATACACTATCATCATTATCACACTTTGATCAGCCAACTTAATACTGAGTGAAACACTTTGAATGTAGGTTGCGCTTGAAGGAGAAATATCCAAGTCGACCATCATGAACAGCTTATCTCGTGGCAAAAGAGCTTCAGGTGACCTCATTCCCTGGACAGTCTCACAACAGGTAGGTTAGTCTCTGGTTCCTACTTTCTGGAAAACATGACTCATTATGGGAAAAACCCTGAAGTAAAGGGACTCAAACTCTACTCATGTGTGATGCTGAGTCCAGAACTGAGAGGCGAGTGCCACTACCTCTATAACAAATTGCAAATAAAGAGGTTGTTGAACGAATTATTGTGAGGCATATGCTGATTGTTTCATCTTATTATGATTGTGTTTTCTCTGTTTCTTGTAGTTTAATGACCATGAGTTTGCCAGCTTGTCCGGTGGACGAGTTGTACGGATAGCAACACATCCTGACTTCCAAGGGGTAAGTTTTGTAACTGTATATTGAACTGTAGCAATAACAGTAGAACAGTGCCATAAGTAGCAACAACAGCAGCAACAACAGTTGCAACGGTACCGCTGCAACAACAACAGCAGCAGCAACAACAGTAGCAGCAACAACAGCAGCAACAGCAGCAGCAGCAGCAACAACAGCAGAAGCAACAACGCAACAACAGCAGCAACAACAGCAACAACAACAGCAACAACTGATTATTGATGAGTTTTTTTCTGTTTCTTTGTAGATGGGTTATGGAAAACGTGCATTACAACAACTTATTCATTATTATGAAGGAAAGATCCCAAACCTGTCAGAAAATGGTCATGATAATACCAAAGAAATAGCTGTGAAGGACGATGAGGTAAATGAGTAACCCTTCTCTTCCTTCTTGTCCTTGTCCTCATCTAATCCCTGTTCTACGTAGACACAATACGGATGATCAATTTACTGTTCTGTATTTTACACAGGATGTTGGCCTAATGAAAGAGTCAATCAGTCCACGAGAAAATCTTCCACCATTGCTCTTAAAATTAAGCGAGCGAACAGCAGAAAGACTAGATTACGTTGGAGTATCGTATGGCTTAACCTCTAACTTACTCAGGTAAAATGGAGAATAATAATAATGATGTCTAGGATGACCATGACAATGTCAGCAATAATAAAAAATATAACAAAAATAATGAAAGAGTATATAGCAAATTCTCATCAAATGTCTAACTAAGGTTGTTGTTCAGGATTGAAAATTGTTTATTTCTGTTCCCTATTTTTTGTATTGACTCTATCAGTTGTTAATTGGTTTTCTAGGTTTTGGAAGAGGAGTGGCTTTGTTCCAGTGTATTTGAGGCAGACACCTGTGAGTACTTTTTCTATATTTTTAAGGCCCCACTTTTTGACCTAAGTAATGAGTGAGTGCTGGAGGTTCAACATGCGCCAGTGGCTCAAGGAATGAGCAAGAATGTGTGGGGTTTTCATGCTGGAAGTTCAATGAAAGTGTGTGCAGAAAGTCAGTTGAGTGAATTGAATACTGAAGGTTTGATGATTGAGGTGCTAAAGTGCCAAATTGTCGTTTTGACCTTTGCTTTCATTTTCCCCCCAGAATGATCTGACAGGGGAGCATTCTTGTATTATGCTGCGCATGCTCAATGAGAGTGAAGTAGATTCTAGTGAAGACTGGTTGCGTGCCTACTGGACTGGTCAGTTAACAGTATGATAATATGAGCTATGTCTATTACCATGGTCATCCTTATGGTTATCATCCATCATTATCATGTCTGCTATGAGCATTATCAGCATTATCATCATCAAAACCATCATTAACAATGTCATCATCTTCACCACCATATCATTACCATTATCATAACCACCATCACCATCACCATCATCATCATCACCTCCATTATCACCATTACCACTATCATCACCATAATCATCAGTATTATCATTTTCATCATCAGATGCCACTCTCTCCAACATCACCATCACCATCACCATCACCATCACCATCATCATCATCATCATCATCATGATCTTAGTTGTCATTGTTATCTCTAGATCTTCTTTTCATTTATTAATACTAAAAGTTTTTATATTCTCCAGATTTTCGTCGCCGTTTTCTATCTCTTTTGTCCTACCAGTTTCATGTGTTTGACTCATCGCTGGCTCTCAGTATTTTACAACATAAATCAATGAAAGCTAACAAAAAAGGTAAAAAATAACTCCCCATTCTAAAAGAACAAACAACAATCAAACAAATAAAGATAAAGAATGAACATGCAGACTAAACATAACATAAACAGATAAAAAACCAGCAACGAAACAAAACAAACAAAGTAACGGAAAAAAGCAATCCAGCATGCAAACAAGCAAACAGATAGATGAATCAATAATAAATAAACCCTCAACAAAGCAAAAACAAACAAATAATCAAGCAAACAGACAAACAAAAATATAATATGCACCTTTGATTCCACAATTCTCCTTCAGCATTCTTTTTTGAGCTAAAAGGGCATTACGTTATAAATGCAGTTTATTTTTGGATTATTAATAATAATGATAATAGTTTATCTGAACAAGTATCATGGGTAGAGGAGCTATTACTCGATAAAACATGAATGCGTAATGAATGTTTGATGTGTTCCCTGTACTCTACTTATTAGTGATCTCCAAATCTGAGCTGGAGCATTCTTTAACAAAGTATGACATCAAACGCTTGGATCTTTACTCCAAGAACATGGTTGACCATCACTTGGTGACCGATCTTATGCCTGCTAGTAAGTAGCTATTTCTGTACATAGAGTAGTTAAGATTTCTTCACATGGGTAGTGTGTACTGCTAATAATTGGCTGCCTTTCGCTTCTGTGGTCATGGGTTCGATCTCTACACCAGCCATCAGGGCGTAACCAGGGATCTTGCAGGGGAGGTGCACAGGCAATGATTTGCAGAACCAAAAAAAGAAAGAAAAAAAAGAAAAGAAAAAAAAAAAAAAATTAGCAGAACCAAAAATAAAAAAGTAGAACCAAAAAAAGAAATAATGGGTGAGTGATTCTTAACAATGCTTCAATATGCAGATGGAAAGTGGTCTTCATTTAATCAAAAAATATTAATACAATTTTACATGCAATTTTAAAGCAAAAGGAGATAGATGAGCAGACGTTAAGCTTTTATGGGGGGGGGGGGGTTCACGTGCACCCTAGGCTCCCCCCTGGTTAGGGCCCCAGCCATCATGTGAGTAGAGGACTCTGCTTGTTGCTTCTCTCCTGGGATTTGAGGATTTTTCTCCTGATCCTTTGGTTTTCCTCCTCCAAAAAAAATAAACATCTAAATTCCAATAGATCTGAGCAATCACCCCTTGCATATATCATAGTAAAATATATGACGACAAGCCAGAGGGGGAAGCTCTTACTAGATGAGGATAGAGTACTAAAACATAGTGTAGTGATGCATGATAATCTTGAAAGATATTGGATTTGTGGAGAAACAGTTTATGACTAATTTTCTGCATATTTTTTTACTATTCAGATGCCAGACTCTTTTTCCTGGATAAATTAGACTTTTCTCTTTCTGCTGTACAATCGGTTAGTATAACATTAGTATTGCTAATAATCATAATTTGCAGACTTCAATCTAAACTTTTAAGTCTGAAGGAAATACAGAAATTGTACTCTAGAATATATCATTTGTTTCACCCCCAGGCAATTCTTCTCGGCATTGGCTTGCAACACAAGTCTTTTGAAGATCTTGAGGTAAGTCAATAAATGCACATCTCCAAATGGTTTAAGAATGCAGTACATTCCAGTTTTAAAGGTTTAGTTAAGGCGAAATCAAAACAGTGGCTTAAAGAAGAGAGGCACAAGTAGGGTGAATGTACATCAACCTTCAAAAAATAAATTCATTTCTTACGCAAAGAAAAAGTTAAAAACAAGATATACAGGTTGTACAATGGGTACAACAGTTTGTATGCAGTAGCCATTGTAACTGTACCAGTCCCCATAGGTTTGACTCCTGACTTGTCCAATTGAAAATCTCTGTCATGGTCAGGGCACCACAATTCTGTACCTTGTTTGGGCTCTTTATTCTGAATAGAAAATTCAAGGCAAGAAAGTAATGACTTGCGAACTGGAAGCTATTTACAATTATTGTCAAGAAATATGCCTTTTTTTGCGTTAATAATAGGAAAAGAGCAACAAATCTTACAGTCATAATATAAATAATATTTAAATAGAAAGCTCCCCATTTATATTTTCGATGTGTCAAATGAAATCAAAGATTTTGAGTGTTTTTTTAAATCTTAAATTGTGTTTCAATATATTTGTATTTTAGAAAGAACTTGACCTTCCAGCTAGTCAACTTCTTGGCCTTTTCAACAGAATTGCCAGAAAACTTGTCCAGGTAGCCAATCGAATTAAGCACTTTTGCAGGAAACCTTCACTTAGAATTTCACACTCAATCTCATCTGGAAAGTGAAACAGTCAGTAGGATGAATAATTGGGAAGCCATTCAAAAGTAAATGGGAATGAGTTGGGAAGACATTTAAAAGCAAATGGAAACGAGTTGGGAAGCCAATTCAGACATAAATGGGAATGAATTGGGAAGACATTCGAAAGTAAATGGGAATGAGTTGGAAAGCCATTCAGATGTAAATGGGAATGAATTGGGAAGACATTTAAATGTAAATGCATTGGGAAAAGCCATG